GGGGGGGGGGGTCCATAAGATTGATTTAATCAATTATTTGAGGTTTCTGAGGTGCGTCCACCCCGTCACTTAACTTGCTAAAGCAAGAGCAACTCCAGCTAGCTAAGGCTAGCTTTCGTGATCAGACTCTGGTGCGCACACCTGTGTGGGAGTGAGGCGTAAGAAGCTGCGCTAATCGTCGCAAGGAGCCTCCGGATACGCGCAGTCCCCCCAAGGGCGTCGCCGGTTGGCGAAGCCTGTCAGTAATCTTCATGGAATGCAAGGCGACTCAGATGTTAGAGAAATGGCCTTTTCCATTGCAGCTATAGAAAATGCTTTACCTTCTTTCCGATGGGATTGGGAAGCCGCGCTGCGCTGCGGTTTCTGAGTCTTTGGCAGCGACGATTAGTTTCTTTCATCTCCGTTGCCATAAATTCTCGTGCAGATTCGATCTAGAGTCTGGTGCTGAATCAAAGTCGGATGTGCGGTTTGGTCCTTCCAAACGCACGAAATCAACCAAATCATGGGCCAGTGACAAACCCGGCGGGTTGTTTATGTTCCTGCATGCTGGTTTTTCGGTTCCTAATTTGGTCGTCTTGGTTGTCCTACACGCTTTTGTTCAAACAGCTTGACAAACGGCTGGCCCTAATTACTTGTGTTTTTATTGTTACAGAATGCTTGAGATATAGTCCCTATCTTGTCACCAAGTGTGACTACGACACCTCGAAACAGAGGACCAGGCCATGCATTAGCGACGCCTGGAAAGTCAGATTGTTGACCGTCGCCTCAGTACATGAATGCAGAGTCGCATGCCTTGTGATTCAATGTGCAAAGTCCTCTTCTATGGCAAGTGAAGAGTTGTTCCATCGCAGTCATCTCCTTACAATTCTTGCCCCCACATCAAACTGTTTGTAAACCTTATCAGCCTTCTTTCGAGGGCATCCACCTTGAAATGCCTACAACGAGCCCAAAAACTTGAGCTGAGACAAATCACTTCGCCCAGCACTTGCACGCCAGCTGCTTCCTGAGACAAGCCCTCTTCAGGACTTGAAGCACAAGCATTCAGCAGAGACAAGAAAGTCCAACTGGACTATAAAATGTTGACTTCGCTGAAGACTCACCATGAAAACTTCAGAACCATGACCGGTGCCTTAAAACAGAAAAGCCCACAAGAAAACTTTGGTCCTGGACTTCTGGTAGAAAGCCTCTGTCCAAATACACCGCGGTGTCAAGCCGCAGGGCATCCAAACCTGAGCATGTGCAGTGCTCTTTCTACCTTCAAGATCTTTCAAGCCCTTATTCCATGGAAACTGCAAAGGGTTTTGAAATATCCAGCAGAATCTTAAACTGGATGGATGGGGTCCTGCGATGCACATGATCTAAGTGGATTTCATCCTCCCGTATTGTTGAAATGGTTAATTGGTGAAAATGGCATGTGTTCAAGCAAAAGCACGTTCGAAGGCCGCGTTCTCAAGAAAATAATCGCAATCTAGCCAACGCAATTAAAATTCAGAAATGATGCATCTTGCAGCTCAATTTTGAGGGGCTGTAGTTTTGAACCATCTCGTGCACCCACTTCAGCAAAGTCTGTCGCACGAAAGGGTTGCTGTGATTCAGGTCCCCCAGAACACCCAGGTAGCCTCCAGGGAAGCAAAACGTTAAAGAAAGTATTGGAGAGCAACAAACTCTGCAACGACAGCTGTCTCCATCTCTGGCCTGTGCTGAAATCGGTGGGGCTTAGAGAAGGGCAATTGAAGCCCATGTTGCCAGGAAAGCATGCACACTCTGTCTGTTCTGCGACATGATGTCCGCAATCTGCCTCGCAAGAAATGGTTGGTCTCCAAAATAGTACAACAAGCAAAAGGTCTATATAATGCTTTCCCACTCGACGTTGTACAGACAGCACGGGGGGCAGTGAATCTCTTTCCATCCGCTGCCCAACGAAGACAGTGGTTTGAGACTGTGATATTTCCGAGGGACGCCTCAGGAACGTGCCCGCACCAACTTTTAATATGAAACATAAGGGGAACTCACAGAGTAGCAGTGACGACTCTTTCTTTTCTTCACGAATGAAAGGAGTCTGCTATCAAGCTGCACCTGTCACGCTCTAAGAGACATGAACAGTCAAAGAATAGTGTTATGAAATAACACTGGGTATTAGTCGTGGTGGAAACACACGGACCAGCTTGGAAAGTCATCTTTGATGAACTTAACATACCACCCACTGTATTCAAATCACCCACTGTCCATGTACTCCAAAAAGCGGGAAGGTGTGCAGGGTGACACACGGACCGAAGTGGTTCCGGGTAGCTAACCTCTGACACATCCCAAGGTTGTGATCTTGTCCAAGAATCACGAACCCCATCTCGTGATAGGCCATCAGAGGGGTTACTCTCAGAGTCAATCCACTCGATCCAAACACGAATTTGAAATCGTTGAAACAAGAAATGTGCGACCTGAACGAGGGTATGGACATCGATCTGGGAGCTGGATCCACGAATAAGTGAAGCGACAGCTGCTTCATTATCGATGAACCATAAAATATCCTGGTGGCTCAAGGCGGCTCCATGAAACCATGGCACTAAGAGACCACACAGCGTTTCAGGTTACCAAAGCTGCTAAGAGCTGAAGGGTAACTGCATCCTCACGGGAAAGAGAGAGTAGGGTGCTGTAAGGCGGTAAGCGTAGGTCCAGCGATCCTACCTGCTTGACCAGCGCACATGCTAAACATCCAGTTTAGGTCACCTCGAAGCTTGCCAGCGTCATCTGGAGAGATACTATTTGTGGTCAGGGCAAGGTGAAGCTTAGCTAACACCTTACGCTGGGTTGTGAACTTAGGTTGAAACCGGATAGAACCCGAGGACACAAAATCTCCAACGTGTACTGAGGTACCAAGATAGTGGCGGTTACGACCTGGGGCAAAGGATTTTGCTGCTTGCGGTGGCGCTCCCATGAGTTGAAACACAAGTTGGAGTCCGCGCTGCGAGACATCCGCATGGTGAATGAAATCAACCGCAAGTTCGTCATCAAAATACGCGGCACAAAAGGATAGCGTACAGCGTCTGGCAATCGCAATACACAACTGGGGGAAGTGGTTGAAACTGACAACTGCACTCTCTAATCCATAGGCCAGCCCGTACATGGTGGTAAACTGCCAGCCTTCGTCAGGTACAAAAATTGCCACATTGGAAAAAAGTTGTCCTCTTGGACTGGCAGGCCTCGATAGGCGTCGGGCAAGTCATCTGTGCCTAACCGCAAATCCAGCCAGTCTGGAGGGTCACACCGGTGGGTCTCCAGGGCGGTATTGACCATACGAGCCACGGAGGCAACAAAGTCAACGTTAACGGTCGAAATAGTCTCCTGCATGGAGGTATGAATATTGTGACCACTTCTCCTGGCATTGTCAATGACCCTCTGTTTACCATCCGGTTGAATAATAAGAAACCGCTCCACAGCGCGCCAGCCACCAACACCAAATCGATCATTCATATCCTGCATAGTCTGTAGTGGGCTGCAAAAACCCTTAAGGGTTTTTTTTTGAGTAATGGTCAAAATTTCCGGGGCATGAAGGGGGGGCCGGCTACGGACCAACCGCTGTATCTCCGCTTCTGCTGAAGGGCCCAGCCATTCAGCTAGAGGGAGTTTATCAGCTTGTTGGATACCCCGAAACACCCCGGACGGCGGAAGGGACCCCACAGTAGCAAACCCCTTGACGAGTTGGCGGGCCATGTCACGGTCCGGCCACCGCAGAAGGCATGCCATGGTAGCAACAAAAGCAGGCTGCTTAGAATGCGCTACTTTGTTGGCACTACACCTAACTGCCTCAAGACACGGGTTCAGGATCTACACAGCTTTTTCCACAGCTTTCAAAGTACACCTCAGCCTTTGGCTGTATGCTGGGAGAAACTGCTGCCAAACACCCAGCGCCTGGACCACAAATGATACATCCGGTTCAGGCCAGTCGTGAGGGTGGAACGGCGACGGCAGCTGCATGGCTTGCACCACATGTTCATCCTTGCCCAACCCCGGGGGCAAGAGATGATCCAGACCTTTGGCCGAGGAACTGGGGTAGCGCTGTCCCGTAAGCCCTGCAAAGATCGCTGTCCTCATCCGCCCCCAAATGGGGACAGGCCAAGGCTCCTGTTGTAGCCGCCGCCACATAGGGTACGCTTGCATACTCACCAAATCACAAGCCCGCAACCGATCATAGACCTGCTGCCATGTCCTGTCTGGGATCTCGGCGAAAGCAAATTGGTGCTGAAGGTCCTTGCATACCTCGGCGGCGGTCACAAGACCAGGCATGACGTCTAAGCGGCCGGGTTCCCAGACCGTACGCCGCAAGCGAGCCCCCCAATGCCACTTCCTCAGCCGAGGTGAAGGAGGGCACAAACTTGGCTTCCAGAATACTGGGCATCATGGCCAACAATGCAACCACACAAGAAATATGGAAGCCATTGCCGATGAAGGAATTCTGTTGCTGGGCGCGCTTCACTTGATTACCCCGAGCTGGCGCTACCAGTGCCGGCGGCAAGCACATCAACTGGCAGCGCTCGGCAGGGGAAGGTCGGCGCCATTGCCGCCCATGCCAGAGGAGAGAGCTTTCCTCATATGCACCTGGAGGGAAGCGGCGCTGATCCGCATAAAAACGCTCGGCTGCATCGGGACTCACTCAGGAACCCGGTCCTCAGGGTGGTAAAATTCCCGAGTGAATGTATGCATCGCTCCCTTCCCCTCCTGCTGCAAAACCAATTCAAAAGTCAGCACGGGCATGAAGTGGTCATCCCAGTACACCTGCGGTGGTAAGGGTTTCCTCCCAGCATACCGCAGTTCGGCAACACCGGAAGTCGAAGTGCGCCATTGCCAAGAATCCGGGGATGGGTGATCAGGGCCAACCACACCTCGCCGGGATCGGAGCCAGAAGAACCTGCGACGCGATACCCATCCGCAGGAACCTGCGTCCATCAAGATTGGAGGTCCTGCCAACCACGTCTCATAGGCCTGCTGGACCTGGGCATACTGGCAACATTTTCCAGGAAAGCCACAATCTCCATACCCTGACAAGCCGGAAGCTGCTCGAACTCATGTACCAGTCGTTGAAGCTCCAGCGGCTGTTGTGACCGCGTGTCATCAAGCCCCGGCAGCGTCGATTCAGGGCAGAGTTGCCTTGGCACGGGGAGCCCCCACCCAGGAGGACCCCCCAAAAGGAGCGGCGGACAAGCATAGGAACAAAGTCCTCAGCTCGCAGATCCTCCACGCGCCGGACAGTGACGACTTGGGGCATGACAGATTGAGTGCAATGAGCTGCATCCCCATCCATCTCGGCTGCCACGGCGTAGAAATGGACTCCCATTGCTAATAAGGCCACCAAGAGCCCTCCAACCAGCCATGTACCCTTGAATGGTTTGGCCCATGCAAACTGAAGCAAATCCCCTTGGCCCCTCCAAGTAATAGGCTTGGCCGCGTACAGGCGGTCAGCCAACTGGGTATGGCGGCTTTGGCCCTCCGGTTGCAGGAGCACACGGCGGTGGGGCTCAGAGTGAGTGGAGCTCGCGGGCGGCTGTGCGCTCAAGGCCACCTCGCCTGGCCCCCCCGGGGTTCATGCTGGAGCCGGGCGTGGTTGGCAAGGCATGCCTTCCCTGAGCTCAACTTGACATCGCACTGATGGAGATCTTTGCATCCCGCCTTCGTGCAACCACGACCATCATTGAAAGGCTTGCAAATCTTCTGGCCCCCTTTCAGCATAGAAATAATAGTGGACCATTTGTCCGTCTTGACCATTCGCCGCTCCTTGGCCGGGCCCTTCTCTTGCGGCTGATCGCTCTCAGGCAAGCGACGCTTGGGGGATGTACCTGCCTCAGGCAAGGTAGGCTGAACCCCCGGGGCGCGCCAATCGATATGTGTTTGGCGTAAAGCCTCCTCCAAGGCAGAGGCCCCTGTATAGCCACGGCGGATGAGGGAGGCAATCTTGGAGCGGGTGTTGATATCATTCCGCTCCAACCAAATCAGGCTCCCTTGCCCAAACTCCATCGTAAATTGTAGGGCTTGATCAGCATACGACATAGCCGGAGCAAGGGGCATGAAGATCCTCTCATTGCCATCGAAATCAGACACCTTGTACAACCCTCCCCAGGCCCAGGCATAAGCCAAGGTGCGCAAAGAGAAGTGGTACTCCACCACTGTTCGGACAACACGGTGGTCATCGGCCGCGAATTCAGGCGGACTGATTCCTGTTGCTTGGGCGCTGATTGGTGAAGGATAGATCGGACCTTGGCCACACTAACAACGGACATCGTCCTCTTGCGGAATTCCCTGTAGATGCGGGAACGGAGTGCGTCAGATGGTTCCAAGAACGCATCCAACACAACTCCATATTTGGCGGCAAAGTCCTTGTGGAGCTGTTGCATGGTCGACTCGGGGAGTGTCTCGTCCACTGCCTCGGGCTGTTTTGCCTCTGCTGCGGCTGCGCGAATGGCCTCAAGGCCAGCTGCATGAGCAGCTTTGAGCCGAGCTCGCAATTGTCCTTCATCTTGAACTTGGTGGGCTGCAACACCTGATCCAACGAAGTTTCCGTAGATGACTCATTGAAGTAGTAGACAAAATCTTCCAAAGTTTCCCACTCTCAGTGCAACCATCCGCACTGGTTCGCCAGGGAGGCATAGAGGCCTCGCGGCATGCGTGCCAGGCATCGCTGGCAAAATTGGCTCCGGACCACCAAGCCGAAGCCCTCACCCTGGCTCTTAGGGTCTTGTGCGAAGGGCGAGTCCCGGCAGTAGGGCATTTGGCGCTCATCCATAACGCCACTGACAATATGTACCCTGCGGCTCTGTACGAACCATTTAGCCTCTGTAATAGCTGTCTCTTCAGCCAAGACGCCCTCCAAATCACTGCCCAGCCGAACAATCCGAGGCGGACGAGGATGTAGTGGACGAAGAGACGGACTGGGCAGTCTGATCCTCTGCCGCCACCGGCGGCGTAACATTGTCCACCTCCTCTGCCTTAACCTCATCGGTTGGGCCTGCCACAGGCAAGGCGTTTCCGGAGGTGTCCAAGGGCGGCGCCTCCGAGGAGGGCTGCGCATCAGGAGTCGCCAACGCGGCCTCCAATGGCCCAAAGCTCTCATTCATCTGGGCCAGCTTTGGCCAGGTCCAGGCATCACGTGCCACGAGACCATCTGCATTGAGGGCCAGTTCGGGGAGCTTGCGCCGAAGCAGGTGTAGGAACCTCTGGACCAATGCCCGTTTGAGTGCAGCGGAGTGCAATACCTTCTGTCCAGCGTAGCGCAGGCCCATCGACCATACTGCCTTGCTCTTGCTGTTGTAGCCGGCCCCCCGGGCCTGAGCATGATCCACCTGCATGGTGATGAGCGCACCCCGGAGCAGTTCCAGGAAGCGGCCCCGCGACATCTTCCTGTTCACGAGCCAAGCCGTGCCCTCAGTGACCTCCCAGAGGTCGTCCGAGCTCAACTGGAGGGCAGGCCACAGGAAATTCAGCTGGGGGTTCAGTTCCATGGTCACGAAGTCCCGCACAATGCGGTGGATGCTAAGCCCTTGAAATTCCAATTCTGGCATAGCCCACGAGTAGGGAGGCCGTGCTCCACGTCGGCGAGCTTTGCCTTGGGAGCATTCAAAGATCAGGCTCTGGGGGTGGCTTTCCATGTAGCGTGACCGTTGAAAATGTTCAAAGCGTACACAAGATATCTGCCCAGACGAAAAACGTCAATATCAACAAATGTGTACCTGTTGCTTTCTTCATCATCAATAACAGGTTCACCAGCTCCCACGGTTGCAATTCGGTCCTCTGCTGTACCCGATGATCCAGTGGGAGCAGCCTGAGTGGTTGGGTGAGCCAATGGTCCGTGTTGAAGTTGAGGCCAAAGGTGACCCGAAACCACTTCAGGGCCTGGAACATAGATGAAGCTGCTGTAGGGCTCCTGGGCCACGGCTCGAAGGAACTCGCCCAACTGGAGCGGGGTTGGCTGGGCCAACGGAAAAGGCCTTCTCAGAGGCATACCGCTGCCACCGCCGCAAAGCCGCCAGGAGAGCTCCAATCCTAGCCTCTGTAAGGCGGCCGGTACTCGTTCAGCAGGAGGTCAAAGAGGGCCTGGGTCTTCGTGGTCCTCTTGGCTTCGGCCTTGGTGTGTGGATCAGTAGCCACAGCTGCAAGCAACATGGGCGGCCGCCCTGGGAACCCGGTCTCCAGGAGCTGCCGAACATGGCCAGGTGGTCCAGTGCCCTTGGGTGCCACCACCATCGATGTGGTCTCCACGACCGATACCCGGTTCCCGATCACTGCTCTGGCAACACGCCTGTGGTGATCATGGGCACGGCGAGCTGCAAGCGTCCATAAGGCGCTAACCTGGAATGCTTCTTTGGCGTGCAGGGGGCCTTGGATGTGTTCAAGCTCTGTCACTAACTCGCCGCCGTGGGACCAAAGGCCAACCACGTCCTGACAGGTTTGGACGCCCTGATGGCAAAACAGTTGCGCCAACTCATCCGAGCGCTCAGCAACCAACTCCAACAAATCGGCTTCCATGGCCTGGTCCGGTTGGCGCACAGTCAAAACCGGAGTGCGGCCGCGCCCAGGCGACACCGAGGGGGATCTTGGCCGCCTCAGCCGAAGTGGAGGAGGTCCCGGGGGTGACCTTGGCTGCTTAGGGTTGGCCTGCCTCGGCAGAGGCACTGGGGGCTGCTTGGGTGGCACCGGATAGCTGCTCCCTGATGAGGTCTCTGGCCTGCTGGGTTGAGACTCCGAAGATTTGCGCGACCTCCTCAATGGGGATCTGGCCGGCGGCAGCTTCGAAATGGGGTGGATGGGCCCTGTCACCCCACCCGGTGATCTCGATCTGGTCCTCGGAGTCCCTGCCGCCTTGCTCGATGTACGCGGCATGACCTTGCTCCCAGGTCACGTTGCGAAACCGGCACTGGTCACAGACCAAGTGCAAGTGATCGCAAGCCGTGCACACCGCTCCGAATGTATCGGGCTGTCGGTAGTAGCAGCCCTCGCACCACGATGCTGTGAAGGCGCCACAACAGCGGCAATGATCAGCCTCGAGGTCCGGCCGCCGATCCACTGACTCCCAAATAGCCAGAATGTAGGCGGACCGTGCCCCAAGATCAGCGCGTCGCTCTTCCGGCGACAGTGAGGCAGGGTCTGAACCCCGATGCGCGCGACGCCACCAACGGGCCCCAGGGTGCCACACCACCGGGGTCGAACGCGTGATGCGCGGCATAGCAGAAAACAAAACCCTGCCCTGATCTTGAGCCAAAATGGCATCAAGATCAGGAGTTACCCCTGTATGTTTCAAATCCCAAAATGTCCCTACCCAACCATCCATTCATTTTGGGAAGATAAATATCGTAAAGGGCTAATGCACTTGTTTCAACAATTCTGTTCTCTGACCAAGCATTCTTGCCGTTGTGTGTGAGTCAAGGTCTAATGTAATCAATAACTACCTCACGGGAAGTCCAAACTGATAGAGCTCTTGCGAGCATGGATCTAAGTGTGGTCCACAGACTCAAAGCTTAGCTTCATCAAATGACTCGGTCGTCTCAGGCCTCTCCAGCTTGTTTGAGCTTCTTGAGCCTGGCATTATCCTCTGATGGATTGAAAGGAGGTGGTGGCCAGGCGATCAAATACTCCTCACGAGCGCAAGTTGGACACGCAAAAACTTGGTATCTGTGACCATTAAGAATTAGACCGAATCCATCCATGTTCAGCTTTGCAAGCCCCATCCTCAAAGGATTGGTTGTGACTTCGATTGCGCTGATGATAGTGACTCTCCTTGGCTTACAGCCAATAACAGCGGGTTGAAGGCAGACTTTCCAAGATACTAAAGATGTTACGTGAACTTGGCCCCTCCGATGCTGTTTAGGAAAGGTTTGGTGCCAAGCTTCCTGATTAAAAGGAATGATCGAGGAGAGGTTGACTCGTCCGTTTATCACTAATGGCCTGGCAGCTCTGAGACCTACAGTAAGTCAGTAAGTCTAACTCTACATGTCCTCATGGCACATAGACTGGAAGCTGGGACACGCACACAAATACAGCTGCTGCATGCTGAACCTAGTAGCGTCCTTGCTCCTAGTAGCGTAGGAGCCCCTAGTAGCATCCTTGCTCCTAGTAGTAAGGCCAGGAGCCCCTAGTAGCATGCTTGCTCCTAGTAGCATGCTGCCAAGTCAGGCCTCATGTGGTTGAGCACGATGTCCAAGATCAAACACATTTGACGCTGATGAAGTTGCTCTGAAAGACGCTGCAAGTCTTCCTGCCAGAAGGAAGTTGGTTTTTCAATCCCAAATGGAAAAGTTCATGTAAGTGACCGTTTCAAGTTGAAGAAACACACAAACCTTCGCGGATATGTGTGCCCAACCGTCCGGCTTTCCCTGGTTAAGAGAACTGATGTTTGTCCATGCCACAGGCAAGAATGGCAAGCCTTAATGCCAAAAAAAGATTGCTGCAAGTACCGGCTGTACCTCGGTAGCTCTCCTTGGTGCCGAAATGAGGCTCAATGTCAAAGATGTTCACGGCATCGTATCCCATGAACCCGTTGGCGTCCACCACGGGAGTGATCCAAACACAGTCAAAGCCCATGCCCTGAAGGATGTGGACTGACTTCCAACGTCTTGAAGCAACTCCAAAGGAATCCACCGAAAGGAAATCAAAGAAGGGTCGAGTCTATAGTCTATGGATTCAATGAGAAACTCAATCAAAATGTCTCGAAACCGTTTCCAGCGAGGGTTCTTCACATATTGTCCACCCTCAGGTGGAACAACTTCCCGTCGAAAGACCGCTCTAAGACGCTCTAAGTCGCTTCCTGTCGCTACAAGGTAGCAACTGGCGGGCCCTGGCCATCCCTTCACAGCCTACCCACCACCAAGAAAAGAGAAAGAAACTGTCAACAAGTGAGGAAACAAGAATAGCGAGAAAGAGAAAGAAAACAATGAGCAGCGATAGAGTCTCCAATATATTCTGATAGAAATGACACGCTTCGCATCTTCACGCAGATCTTCGACCCTGAGGCACCTGGATGTAGTCCAACCGGTTGATGATCCCGTTGAGCGTACCCCCACAGTAGCCTCCTCCAGTATTGTTGATCCAATCAGCCGACAAATCGCAGAAAGTCGTGTTAGATGCCTCCCACAGGCGCTCAATCAAAATGCATAGACTCTAAAGAATGAGTGAAGCAAACAAACAACTGGACGAGACTCCTACATCAATTAATAATGGATCCATCAAAGCACATGTTCATGCTGGAATGTGATACCTGTTGCACTCTTCGAAAAAATAGACTACATAATAAATAAATAAAAGCAGGTTATGGCCGTCATCGCAAGAAGACAAAAGGAAAGACCAAAATTGGTACTGACGCTCAGCAATTGAAATGTACTTGAGGCCTGGTTTCGTGCAAAGCGGTCCACTACCAAGAAGTAGACAGATTTCCCAGCCAGCGAAAACCTCGTTGAGCACTTCTCTGAGCCCGTGTTTCCTTCCTTTAGGGCATCCTACACCTAAGCAAGGAAAAGGATATGAAAAAAAATTGTATAAAAGTGGCAATTTCACAAGGTCGGTTTAAAGGATGCCTTTTCAAAGGGCGCCTTACCTTCCTTCTTTCGCATCCTTTTTCTTGACCATGGCATCAACAAACAGCCTTCTGGGATCTACCTCTACCGTTGCTTTCTTGTTGTGCAAGGAACTCTTCAGCTGCCACGAGGCAAGCGCAAAGCCAAAGAAAGCGAAGGGGCGCCATGGCGAATGCAACCTCGATCTCTTACCCAATGCAACCCTTTCTGACCAGGTGTACCTGATCCTGCTGATGCTGTTCACATGGCTGCGTCGTGCTTTGTCTTCTTTATGCCTGGTTCTCCTGCATTCCTGTTGACAGGATCGCTCCTCCCTCTTGCTGGCATTGTCTATAGTCTAGCTCTGTGGGAGCCCTCTATGGGTGCATACTTCCTGACTTGAACCATCGAACCCATGCACAAATCAGTCAACGACAGCTTGATGGCATGTCTAACCTTATCTCAAGCTTCACTACATCTCTATTGCAGCATCCCATGGGCAAACGCCTGCTTACCACTGCTTAGGCCAATTTACTCAACTAAAGTGTCTGTAAGACAAGAACGCGGACTTTCCAAGTGTGTTTCTGCCCTCACGGCGCACCTATTTGGCGCTTCGAAGCGGAGCTAAACACTGAAACTTGCGCGAATTGAACCTAAAAGGTCACACCCTCGTGCTTAAAAGCAACACAAAGCCAAAGTCAATGAATTTTCCTCGGTCTCAAGCTGCAAGCTGACTGAAAAAAAATATGTAGCGAAAATGTCCCACTTGAGCTCTCACTAAGTTCAGAAGGAGCAACACTACTACCGATAGAGTCTTGCTGGATTCAGCATATCAGGATAGCATATCTCAAAGGATATATAACTGCTAAGCCATCTGGAATGATGGGTGGAAACTTAGACTTTCTCCGAGTTGCTTCAACCTTCGACGCTCTTTCGCGTCAGCTGGCGCACCTGCTGTCTCCCCAACCAACAGCCATGCACCACAACTTATGGGGCCATGATGGGCAATGATGCCTTTCTGAACAATTTTCTCCAAAAGAGCAGCATAACTCGTGACCGTGCTAGCCAAGCACCTTCTTTTTCCATCCCTCTGGATCATTTTTCAGATGCACCGCAGCATCGATGTTGGCAGGAGAGTTCAAATTCGGATCGAGAAGCATTGAGATCACCTCAGCAAAATCTTTCATGAATGTGCCGCTTGCTAGGAGCTGCAGCCTGGTGCGTCTGAGAGCCAAGCACTGATCAAAATGCTGTGAACACCCAAGATAGGCCGCCACCGCTCGTCAGCGGTCTCCTAAGAGTAGCCCAGGCCCAATCTCTCAAATCTTAAGAACTAAGTACAAATAGAAAGAAACACGCAAGGCGTAAAAATATACGGCCTGGTCATTGAAGCGGTCAGTGCCAGGAGGGTGGAGGATCGAGATGCACACACGCCCATCCGGGTAAATGTTCGGGTGCCACATCTCCGTCTCAAACCTGGTAGCGTGCCAGGCCATTGCTATTAGGTTTTCAGACCATCGCTATTAGGTTGGGGGCCATCACTAGCAGGTTGGAGGCCATCGCTAGTAGGTTGGAGGCCATCGCTAGCAGGTTGGAGGCCATCGCTCTTAGGTTGGAGGCCATCGCTAGTAGGTGGGAGGCCGTCGCTAGTAGGTTGGAGGCCATCGCTCTTAGGTTGGAGGCCATCGCTAGCAGGTTGGAGGCCATCGCTCTTAGGTTGGAGGCCATCGCTAGTAGGTGGGAGGCCGTGCTAGTAGGTTGGAGGCCATCGCTCTTAGGTTGGAGGCCATCGCTAGCAGGTTGGAGGCCATCGCTCTTAGGTTGGAGGTCATCGCTAGTAGGTGGGAGGTCGTCGCTCTTAGGTTGCAATCTCACAAAAACGAGCCGAGTTTTGCATCGACCGTATTCATGCGTCCTAGTAGCGTCCTTGCTCCTAGTAGCGATGCTAGGAGCCCCTAGTAGCGTCCTTGCTCCTAGTAGTAAGGCCAGGAGCCCCTAGTAGCGTTCTTGTTCCTATGCCACCAAAACGAAAGAATTCCAATTCAACTACTTCCCTCGGTCTCCAAGCTTCATCTCTGGAGGATTGTTTGGAAAGTCTGCCGGGAAGTTCAGCACTGCACTGAAGATGCCACCTTCGTACCTAGATTGATCCAAATGGATGTGTATACATTTGTGCATAGTTATATATAGATATACACATATGTATTCTAGATTTAGTCGTGGCGTTGTTCCTTCTTTTCCTTTGCTATTTTTGTTTTCGACTTTAGACGTTCAGACCTTTTCTTGTCCTCCTTTCTTCCTTTCTTGTTTTAAACTGGGAAACCGTGCAAGCTATCCTGAGGTCCTTCAAAAACAACGCGCCACTTGAAAAAGTCCTGCAAATCTGCCGTGTCAAAGTTGCAGCGAAGCAAAAAAACATGAACAAACTCCAATGACTCTACAGCCATTTCTAGGGGCAAACCCTTCAAGCAGAAGGACCGACCAACCAACGCTCCGAATCATCATCCAGACCCACAGAGAAGCCGCTGCTTTCATCCTGTGTACTGAGATTCGTGGCCCAAAGTGATTTACAGAGTGATCCAAAGTGATCCAGAGTGATCCAAAGAGATTTAAGTCAAAGAAATCCAAAGTGATTTACAGACCAGCGATGTCAATCTGCGCAGGCGCTGTGCCTTCATCAATTGACACAACTCCTTCTTCAACATCTCCCGGGCCACATGTGCCATGGCCTGGGCAGGGCTGACTGAGAGTCCACTGTTACTGTTTCGATTGACTTCTTTAATGCAGCGGATTCGGCTTTGAACCATTCTCAAGGCACAAAGATCAGCTGCGTTTCCAAAGCCATTGCTTTTAGACGAAAAAAAACACATGTCCTCCGATTCCAGCCTGGGAGTCGAACCTGTTTTCTGCTACACCTGACTCACCTGACTAACAACCTGAGCCGACCTGAGGCCCAACAACGCTCAAGCGAACGAGAAGTCATAAAGGCTCCAAAGTGTGTGCGCACACCCTTGCTCTCAACGGCTGTTGCTGGCTAGCCATGCTGGAGCTTAGGTGGCATGTGGCAAGCCAAAGTCAAAGCAAAGCGATCTTAAGAATCTAATAATATATATATATATTCTTTTTTAATGTACCTGAGAGCAAGTCCTCAGGGCAGGCCCGGGCAAAGACTTGGCGTGCAAAAGGAAGTGACGGGGTAACATCGGGCAAAGATTATCGCAGCCACACTGATCGGGGGTAGAAGTGGAAAGTAGAAGACATAGGTTTGGGGGGGGGGGGGGTGCCCTTTTTCGCCCCGGTTCAGGGGCGATTTGGAGGTGAAAAGGGGCACCCCTAAGGAAGTGAGGCGCGCTTGCCGGCGGCGTGTTGCCGCCCTGAGGTCGGCAACATGCGGCCTGCAGAGATCAGAGCTTGATACGGCTATGCATGCTGGCTTCGCTCAAGCACACGAGACCTCTCATCACGAGCTCGGGAGCAGATGTCGGAAGGACAAGAGCCCAGGAGCATCGATGAGGAGATGGGTGCTTTGTTTAGTTTCTCTCGCAGGCCCTCAACTAATGGCATCATACACCCATATGGGGTGCCCTTTTGAGTCCAGAAACTAGACCTGGCCACGGGAAAGAAAGGGCACCCCCAAGCAATTCAAAGCCTGCCGCCAACCGAACAACTCCAAATCGTCTGCCTCCAGATGCTTGATATGCAAAACCAAACAGGAACCACAGCGCCTAGCCTCAATCAATACATGAGCTTGAAGCAAAAAAATCGACATTTTTGAAGAACAACGTGGTAGAATTTGAGCCTGAACCTACACATGGAAATTCTGACCACCTCAACAATTGTCCCCTTCATTCAATCCAAACAATGAAGTGAAAGTTATGCCCCTAAAACACGCATAACAAGACCCCAGCAAAACAAAGGTAAGGAACAAACGTTGAACATCAACATAAAATCACAACAAGCAACACACCAACAAAAACTCCCCGCCCAGAACCCCCATTTCTCCATTCGCTCCAGCAACCTCAAGCCTTGCCTATCGGCTGGCTTTCGTGATATAATACTATATATAAAATCAATTTACTTATTTATGTATTTATTGTTTCTACACATTTATATGCATGCAGGCACAATAGATTCATAGCAGTATCTGTCTTCAACAACCTACACAAGACATACAATGAGAGCTCTATCATGGGCAACTTCGGCATGACATTTGCTCTATTTTGCAAACCTCGCGAACTCCTTCTTTGAGGCTTAGCTAGGGGACTTGGAACGCCAATCTTGTGGCCCCTTCTTAGAAAATACGCCTCACGTGAGGAACAGACTCGTGGGGCTTGAGCACTCTGAATGCTCCACCCTTTGGCAACTGGCGCCAGATTGTTTCTGAAAAGTGATGCAAGTCGCACCCGCGAGGCACGGTTCGTGATGTGGGCGACTGCCAGGGTTACCGCATTGCAGAGCTAAGACATCTGTACAAACAGATTGCCTGTTCACCACTCCATGAGACCTACATCAAATCGTTCATGGGCAAGTAGACCTGGCAGAAGAGCGGCATTTTTATCCATTGCAGTTTTTCTGAATCCGGGCTGGCACCTCACTGCCAACCTCGGCAAACTTCTTGCTCATCTCTTTCATGCCCTCCTGTGTTTCAGGCAATGGCCTCCAACCTAGTACGCGATGGCCTCCAACCTAGTAGTATCTATGGCCTCCAACCTAGTAGCGATGGCCTCCAACCTAACAGCTTGGAAACCAGGTGGTACAAGAAAACCAGATTGCCCAAGATTGCCCAGCTGGCCATCCCAAAAAGAACGTATTCCTCCACAAATCTGTCTGCTGATTGTATCACATCAACTGGACCCCGAGGAACAAGCAAAGAACAGGAGATGACACAGGGGTGCTGCTATGAAAATACTATCCCAATTATGTGCTTCTGTCTAAAGTGCATGCAATAGAAACCTTGCTGCAAAGGAGTTCGAAGATGCAATGTCTGGAGTCTGGTTGTTCTTAGAGACCAGCTTGAACTGGAGACATTGAAGTGTCACAAGCTACCAGCATAAACCGATGGAGAAGCAGGGTGGGTCTCCTCAAGGACTTTTTCTGCGTCGTCCTCGGCATAGCCGCGCTCTGCGGCATAGGCACGAACGTCATCGGTGATCTTCATGGAGCAAAACCTGAGGAACTGATCCTTCACTGATAGCGGCCACAACCGGCCAGAGGAAAGGAGTCCTTGATGGCCTCCAACCTATTAGCGATAGCCTCTAACTTAATTGGAAACCTGCTTCTGTTTCTGACATTAAAATCTAATCAGTTGAAAGAGCGATTGGATGGCCGTGGACAGCTTTGGATTAGGTGAACTCTGGATAATTTGTCGATCTCACTGTCATGCTGAGCTTCCAGCTTTGGGCCACACATTGAGCAAAAGTGTGCAGACTTCCCAGCGTCCGAACCAATTGTCTCATCGTGCATGGCACGGGCGGTGACAGGGTCCTGACAGCATCCGGGTGCACTATGCCATTTCCTCAAAAACTGAGCCCAGGCAGCCCAGGCACCAGCGCAAGATTGAATTGGTCGTTCCAACGGAACCTTGGAGGCCAAACGGCTTTTGCACCGCAAGATTGGCAACTTGCTGCGAGATAGGTTTTTGGTGGACCCTGCAGTACATATACAGTATACATATATATATATATGCCTACACATACACACACATGTGTGTGTGTGTGTCTACAAAAATGCATGCTCAGGTCGATTCTCTTGCAACACTTGAATCATCTTGAATCCTATGCGTCGCATGCTCCGTTCAAGTTATCCTGTCGGGTCCAGACTCAAAGCGGGCTTTGGAAAGAGTATCATCCCACTCTTGGGCCCTTGGATGCCCTTTGGCCTCAGCACACAGCTTGGTGCGACAAAACGAGGTCATCACTCATGAGGCTGAGACTCATCAGGGAAACAAGAATAGAATAAACAAGGCTTAAAGGTGTGGGGCCCTGGTTGGGGATGCTAGGATCCTTATATTACTATCTGTTGGGAGAAATACTGCCAACTGCGAACTTGAAAGCCTCACTTCTTAGCGAAACACCAAGTCGGCAGCATGTGCAGCGATGCGATAAGCAATGATGCCAGCCTGCACATCAGTTCAAAACAATATGAACAGTTCAATTTCCAAGTGTCCATACGGATCAAACGAGCAACATCAAACGCTACGTCTTGCTGTGCTTTCCGATTCTGTTTATGCACCTTCACGTCCTCCCGATTGGGCAGACCAAGGTGCTCCTTGGGAGTGACGTAGCAAAGCATTGCTGTCCTGCGGAGACAGCAGTGTCTTCAGGAAGCTTTCAATATGACCGGTTTCCAAAGGATCAATCCCTATTCAGGAATCTAGAATCTAGAAAGCAAGACCTTCCTTGCCCCTTCCTCCCTTTCCCGCTGTCCCCATAGCTCCAATGTTGGCTGCCCCAATTGCGCTTGTGATGTGATCATAGCCAGGGGCGATGTCTGTGGTCAGGGGGGCCCAAGGTGTAGAATGGTGCCTGAAAAAGCACTGCCAGTCTGGGCGACCGAAACATCAACATAAGTAGTAAGAATGCTCCTAGTAGCCCCTTGTTCCTAGTAGGCTTGCTCCCAGTAGTAAGGCCAGGAGCCCCTAGTAGCTTCTTGTTACAGAACAATTTCACATGGAGAAAAAATGGCATCTGTGTCGCAGCTGTGTCTGTGGCAGGGAGGAAAATGTTGGCCTAGGAATCCCACCTCATGACACCATTCAAGCTGCTTGCGCATGTTGTCAGGGATCTTGTGCAAAGGCACATGTCCCGGCCCTTCGTTCATCACCTGAAATCAGAAAAAACGGAAGAAGAGATGAGACTTGCTGTTATGAATTTCAGCAGTTACTTATAATGTTCTCTTAAAGCTCTGCTTTAAAGATACAATTAACTCCATGATTTGAGAATCGAGCATGCTGACACTCTTGTGACAGGTTCACTCAAAGAATGAAAACAACACAAACTTCAGAAGCTGATTGTTTTTGAGACCAACCAGCAAAAAAGTAGAAATGCACACCAGCACTATGCCATGACCGTCATGACCGTCATGCCTGCACACCCTTGTCCCAGGCGCGCTTGGTGAGCTCACCTTGCACCTCACAAAAAAAAAAAATAGAATGAGAAAAATGAGAAAAACGAGAAACCTGCGAGATGCACGAAAGAAAAAATTATCGTTGCTTCATGTTTGTCCATGAGATTATTTTGTTGCCTTGCTCGTTTCCTCCCTTTCTTGCTCGCATTGGCACCTTCAGCTCGCTGAATTGCGCCTCATCGTTGGCATCCTGGCGGCAAAGGCGCTTGCTCGAAAAGCACTGGGCGCACTGGAAGCGGCGCTTTGAGGAACTACCCGAAGTCTCAGCCTTGATGCAGCCAGGACGAAGACCATCACCAATGCTCAAGGACCTCGAGCAACAAGTGCATTTTGTTGCCACAGTTTGTCCAGAAACAGAGAAGTCTGAGTCACCAACACGTCGTATTGCTTGCAGATATCCAGGATGTCATCCCAATGTTCATAGGCAAAATTTTCCTGCAATCCAACATCCAAACATTTGCCTACACTCATATGTTGCCTGTTGTATGTATTTTATATCAAGCGCCACTAGAGCGCCGTGCTGCACGAATGATCACAAATACATCACTTCCACCACGGCTTCAAACTCTTAACTGATAAGCTGACATCCTTCAGAAAACCCTGTAATCCAACAAGCCTCGTGCTTGGAGATACACAATTTTGCATGGATGGAACCACCACGACTGACCTTAATGTCAAATCCAATTTTCTCAGTCTTGGTGTGATATTTTGTTAATTAAAACCTTGACAAAGACTCTTCGCTAGGTGTCTGGGCGATGCCAGTGAGGCGCTCAGCAGTGAGAGGTACAAAGCGCAGGAGAACACCAGCATGGATAGTCCTCAGCAACTTCCAAACTCCACCCGCTCAAGTGTTCTTCTTAGTCCAATCAACTGGCAGGACCCTATGCCAACGTGTCATTGACGAAAGGCTCTTGAAATGCCTTGCTTGGGCTCTGGGCCAATAGTCAACACCCTGTTCAGCCTGCTCAATCAGCGTCTCACGGAAGACCTTCACAGGACTTCTTGGGAAACCCACAATAACCTGCCAAAAGTGTACACAAATAAAGAAGCAAAAAACAAAAATTATGTGTGTATATATATATGTGAAAATCCAGTGAAGTCGGCACGCAGGGTTCCTTCGAATGTGCTCCATCGCAATGACGATGGCTCAAGGCACTGCGGCAGGCACGGAAAAGCGAGGCCGCTTCTGGTGGAAGGGATTTGATAGGATAGGGCTGTTTTGGTTTAGGTCATCCCTGGGGAGATTCGTTACCAGTGGGATTGCGAAAGCAATCACATTGGTAGCGGAGCTCAAAGGGGCCCGTCGAGTAGGATCTTGACGGAAAGCCATGGCAGAAGCTTCCAGTGGAGATGCCAAAGGTTCTGGTTTCTGGACATTGTTGCCCACCTTAGATCCGGCTACCGACGACGTGAAAGAGTATGTCTCCAAAGTGAAATTTCTGGCAAGTGTTAGCTCTTCAGCGCAGGGGAACTGCATGGCATCAAGCGCGAGCCATCAAGCCAAAGCTTTTGACAGATCCCGAGCACGGGGTTACCCACCTGCTTTCGGCCCTTTCGACCTGACAGGAACTGGCAGAGTTGAAAACATTCGAGCTCTTCGATCGCGCCATCTACAAAACCACTCAGAAGGGTGGTGAGTCTGCACAATCTTTTTGTAAACAGGCTACAGGTGGCTTTTGATGAGCTTGGGCCCGATACAACAATCAAGCCGGTGAAGGCCTTTGTATTGTTGAAGCAAAGCTCATTGAGCAACGATGACAAGAAGAAGGTTTTTACAATTGCTTCAGGTGTTCTGGAAGTGGGCGCTGTAGAGAATGCCATGCGAAGCCTGTCAACCAATGTTCTGCTACGAGCGGGAATTGGAGAAAAGAAGAAAGCGCATCCAACAAATTACATTGAGCCTGAAGAGGACCCAACAATGCAACAGAGTTTCAACCAGAATCCAGCCATGCTTACATGGCATATTCAGAAGATGATGATATTATTACAGCTGAAGCAATGGATCAGCTTGTGGCCATGGGGGACGCCGACGCCCTCATGATTCAATCCTTCGAGAAGGACCTGGAGGACACGTTTCAAGAATTCAAGAGAAGCACAGGAGCAGGTGCTTCTGGCGGAAGCAAGTCTGGAAAAGGATCTGGATTTGGAGGAAAAGGGTTCCGAAAAGGTCTTGACAAATTATACCGGCATAGACCCCAGATAGCACTTCAAGAAAAGTGGGACACCATGGCAAGAGCGGGAGACAAGCTTGGGAGACATTTGACTCAAAGCCGGGGAAAGGATGGAAAAGGTAAACAAGACCTAAATCATCTTGTAACAGCATCCGCGTCAAAGGCAGGCAAGAAAATGACAAGGCGGCAGCGGCAGCCAAGAGCGAAATCATGAAGGAAGACAAGCTTCGGAAACACGGCGGCACCGGCAGCCAAGAGCGAAATCATGAAGGGAGACAAGCTTGAGAGGCAGCCAAAAGCGAAATCATGAAGGGAGACAAGCTTGGGAGACAAGGCGGCAGCGGCAGCCAAGAGCGAAATCAGGAAGGGAGACAAGCTTGGGAGACAAGCTGGCAGCGGCAGCCAAGAGCGAAATCATGAAGGAAGACAAGCTTGGGAAACAAGGCGGCAGCGGCAGCCAAGAGCGAAATCATGAAGGGAGACAAGCTTGAGAGACAAGGCGGCAGTGGCAGCAAAAAGCGAAAGCATGAAGGGAGACAAGCTTGAGAAACAAGACGGCAGCGGCAGCCAAGAGCGAAATCATGAAGGGAGACAAGCTTGGGAGACACGCCGGCAGCGGCAGCCAAAAGCGAAGTCATGAAGACAAGCTTGGGAAACAAGGCGGCAGCGGCGGCCAAGAGCCAAGTCATGAAGGGAGACAAGCTGGAGAAACAAGATGGCAGCGGCAGCTAAGAGCGAAATCATGAAGGGAGACAAGCTTGGGAGACAAGCCGGCAGCGGCAGCTAAACGCGAAATCATGAAGGGAGACAAGCTTGGGAAACAAGGCGGCAGCGGCAGCCAATTTCCGCAATCCGGAACCCATCCATTGAGAAGTAAGAACCCCTATAGCTTCCAGCTATCTGGGGAACAAGAACTCAGATCGAATCTCCAGGACACATTGCGAACTATGTGGTGAGAAAGGACACTGGAAGGCAGAGCGCCCCCCGACGCAACCAGGAACAAGCTCAGGCCAACTTTGTGACCGAGCCCGCTGGAGAAGATTCACGCGATCCTGACAAGCAAGTTCAGTTCGAAGTCATCGATAGACAGGCCGCGCAAGTGTAATAGATAAAAAGCCATTAGGGAAAAGGTCAAAAGAATCATGAACGAATGCAAAACGGTGCAACACGTTCGCAGGTTGAAGCCAATGTCACCAGCCAGCCATCATCGGAATCCGCCAATCTTTCAAGGCTGCACCAATAGCATCTTGGCAGATGACCCAAAGACTCAGGGACAAGCGATTGTCGACACTGGAGCCAGCCGTAGTGTCATTGGCATAGATAATGTTCCTGTGTTGTTGAACTCGTTACCATCCGGCGTCTGCAGCCGAGTGAAAGAGAAGCCAAGCCGCATAGGTTTTCGATTCGGAAACCATCAAGTCGAATACAGCTTCAAACAACTTCGATATCCATTTGACTGCGTTGGTGATTGAAGTAGTCCCCAAGGCAACACCGTTCTTGCTCTCGATTCATGCCAATGAAGAAGCTAGGTGCCGTGATTGATTTAGCCCCACCGTTGAGCAGAAACACCAGCAGAAGCACAAACACGAAACACCTGGAGGCTCCAGACCCGTAGGACTGGAATGGGTTTGCCTTCGGCATCCAGCCCCCCCAGCATACACCTCCAGACTCTGCCCTCACCATACACCTGCACCTGTCTACCAGCTCCATAGGGACCCACACCAGGTACTTGCTACCGAAGTTGCCCCGTAGCCGCCCGCGAGGAGGACCGCGAGCGAGGAGGCCACGCACATGTATATCTATCTATATATATATATATGTCCAAATATGTATGGTACTCATGCTGAAAGCACAGGCGTTCTTGAATGAAAAAACAGCACATTTTGCATGACAGACACTCCCACAGCGCCTCCCAAGTGAGATTCTCCGCAATACCATCCACCTGAAGTCTGAAGAAGAGAAAACACAAACATCATATAACGACCTGAGTCAACATTTCTAGCAGATGATCAACTTGTTCAACTTCAAACATCAAAATGGTGTCGAGAGCTTCCAACTTCGCTTCGCCACTTGGCCTTCTCCAAGGCCTGGTAGATCGGCACGGTGCCCACCGGCAAGGCCTCAGGCTAGGCCCGGCGCCCATCCTTCTTCCAAGTCTTCAGATCAAAATGGCTATTCAGAGTCTATTCACGACATGTTGACAGAGGAAGTCATTGGAAGTCTATGGATCATGACTGAATATGACTTTGAGACTTTGGCGCTGTTGCGAATGATCCACTCACGCGTCTCGTGGATGTGCTTTCCAGTGCTCAAGTCCATCAAAGTATCAGCACCTGCAGTCAGCACGCCTCTACATTGTTCCCATTTGTGGCTGGCTGGAAGACTGCCAGAAAGATCATATGTGTTCGACGTCTCATACCAACATGGAATGAACGCCAAAAAGAGGAATGCAAAGCTGGAACTTGGAACAGCCTATGCTTCAGGCTATGGCATTGCAGCTGAACTCAACCATGGGTTCCATAAAATATCGGCACGAAAACGCATGCTGGAAATGTGCCAATATCAAAGCCACCCTGAACGGCCTGTTTGTTTGTTTGGAGCTACTTCAAGGCTACTTCTGCTTTGGGAACTCAGCATGGCACCCCACAAGGCGCTCCATTGCAACTTCTCGACTTCTTCTTCGATTGTGGATGCCTAGGAAGAAAATTCAATCCTTGGATCCCTTTCTTAGCTGAGACATAAGCAGCATCTACCTTTCTTTCTGCAAAGCCACAGTCCTATAGAGTCCTGTGCGTTCAAGCTGAGCTCAGTCCGTGGCAACTGCAGAGTTACCAATGTTCGAGTTGATCTTCACCTACAAACTCCAGACTCAATTGCAAGATTGCAAAGTGAAAGACTCCAAAAGGCATGCTTGAGCAATTGCCAGCCATGTTCTTGACCAAAAAACTGTTGATTGCGGCCGTTTGGGCCTTGAAGTGACGGCCGATGATCATTGGCTCCGACCTGCTCTCCAGTTCATGTCGCATGTCAGGGTCGTGTTCGGGAGAAGCATGAGTGGATTGAATCAGAAAGCCCAAGGGACCATTTTCTGTAATGCCGGAACCCAGTATCACTCAAACTGGGAAGTACCCCAGGTCAACTTTGTCTGATCAATGACGTCCCTCCTCAAACGGCAAACATTGAGAGAATGAAAAAAATGCAAACAACCTCTTTAGTTGTCCGTCATTGAGGTCAGGGACTCTGGATGATTGCGGTTGGCAGGGATGATGGCCTCTGGCAGACATGCACATACAAGTCCGCAAACAGAGGAAGAGCGATCCTTGATGATCAAGGTGTAGCGGTCATATCACTACCCGGGTAAGGTCCCTGACCCGGCCACGCGCCACTTCTGAACGGACAAACTCGGCATCCATGCCCTCACGCCTCAGCCACAAGCCGGTTGGTATCGGTATGCTACAATGATTCTAAATTCTATACATATAATTTTACAAAATGAGCTCTAACTTTTCAGCAAAACTGAGCTGCAGCGCGCAGCAATAAATGCCATCTCCTCTGTGATGATGCCCTGCTTGGCATAGTACATTTGAGTACAGGTGCCATCTTCCTGAGAATGCGTACAATGCGAAGGCAAAAGTCAAGAAGCCTCTTCAGAAATGTTCAATTAGACCTTTTGGGTCTGAAACAAAATCAAGTCCAAAAGGTCCAAAGTCTAACGAGATCCACTTGGTGTCTGTGTATTATCCGCAGTTCTGAGATGGCTTGAGAAGTGCTTTTCACAACTGGCTGGAACCCGTACTTGGCTTCCCAGCAGCCGCACTGCGATGCGAAATCCACTTACGGCGAAGCTTAGGCAGGCCCTCACGAGGATTCAAGCCTCTGAGCACTTGGCAAAGTGATAAAGCGAGTAAAAGAACAAATACAGTAAAGATCCAAAAGAACAAGCTCAGAATAAAGCCTGCAGGACCGGAGGTGTCATAAACATCCAAATGGTCGCAGCCCGCATCCTTCGCAAGTGCAAGATGCCCTCTTGGCAAGGTGTGTGACTTGAATCACTTGCGATACCGGACAGCAAATTGCAGGGCTTGCCTCGTCCGACAGGTGAATGCGGCGATGGGGAACACGGAGTGTTTCTCCAGTTGGCTCATAGGTGATCTGACAAAAGTATGGCTGTGCAGCTGGCCCACATCTCACTGGATTCTGGCCTCTTGATAGATCTTCTCTGAGCTGGGGTATGCCTCGTTAAACCTCAGAATCCAAGTCTACAGGATCTGGCAATGTTTCTGGAATTCGACAATGCTCACAATGCCATGAAACTGGAAGGCATCCTTGAACTCTGGATTGTAGGGGTCCTTGGTCACGGTCCGCTTGCGATCCATCTGGCGACGCACTGTCCTTGCCGGCAGTGAATCCCAGACTTGGCGACAAAATAATCCACGCCAGAAACATCCAAAAAACTCATTCGCGGCTATCGGCCTTTGGTGACCAATTTGTTGGCTTTCCCAGGTGGATAATCCCGGCCTCTTGCTCCTCCTGTCTGATGCCAAGCTGATCCCTGCAATGGCGACAGCTCCAGCAGCTGGAACAGACCCAGTTCCAGGAGGCAGAGAACGGCCTGGCAGAAATGAAAGGCCCAAAGGACCAAAAAAAGGCCTCAAGGAACCGAAAACATCTCAAAGGCATCCACAACTCTGAAGGTCACAGTTTCTACCTTGAAGATCCTTGAAGCAAGTCTTAAACAGATTGAGGAGGAATACTGTATAAAAAATGTTCAGACCTTTGTTGTGGCTCACGGCGCCCACAATCGGAGCAGATGAGGATGGCAAGGCCTCATCATTGCAAGACCTCTCCCAAGCTTCTAAATGCAACGAGTAAAAATCCTTTGACATGATCTCGACAATATCATGACAATACAGTCTACTGTTAATCTATCCTTTGCCCCTTGCAAGGCCAGTCTTCTGTGCAATCTAAGCAGCGACGAAGCTGTGGAGGGCCATGACCAAGTCTGGGCACAAAAGAGGCAAAAGAGAAGAGTCGGAGAGTTCCACTAGACTTGGACAGAGAGTTCGCTCAACTCCCTCACCTCCCTCACCTCCCTCTTTCAGATGACAAGTGACGCTCTCCCAACAATCTGCGTCTTCGACTGGCCAGCCATTTATAAATTGTTCACAGAAGCGACATGGTGTGTGTGTGTGTGCGCGTGCGTGTGCGCGTGCGTGTGGCGCAAGGACCTGAAGAAGCTGCTCCCTGCGCAGGAATTACCTTGGCTGGACTGGTGCTCAAGTGCCAAAGTTGAACGGTTGCTATTTCACGATGTAAACAAAAATGTCAAATTAGAACTCTTGTCAGTTGTAGTCTTGGTTTGTCAACCTGCTAGTGGGCTTTTGCTGCAGAGAGACCCTGGTCAGGTTCCAACGGTATGATCTCAGCACTATCCGAGTGCACCCGTGCAGCAAGTTTAAGTTTCAAGCTCAAACTGCTGCGGAGTATTCGAGTCCGGGCAGCACAGCAACGAAGATGCAAATATTAATTTACAAACACTTTGCAAAGTCCTAGATGTGCCAACAAAGTGTACGAACAAAGGTTGGTACCTGGTTTTTGGTACCTCTTGCTGTCAAGAAGTAAAGAGACGTGAATTTGCTGTTGCAAAACAAAGAAAAAATAAGCGAAAAGTGTGAAAAAGAAAGCAAGAGTAACAAAGGCGTGGCGACTCTGTAGCATCATTTTTCCTCGCTGTCTGTCTTGCTCAGCAAAGCTGAATGAGGCGGTATTTTCATGCAAGTTGGAGACGCACTTGTGATTGGTTGGAAAAGCACAGTGGAGCTGCTCACATGCGACCTAATCATAAAATTGGCTTCACAAAACTTGGAACCACGCAGCAGCGGTGAGTGCCTGACATCTACAAAAACATCCGGCTCTTCCAACGCTTCCATAGGATCACAAGCATTCACATTGCCGAGCACAGTGAGGCAAAACTGTCTGCTGGCGCCCGCGGGACAAGCACGCCATGAAAGCAGTCTCTAGCTCACCAGAAGAGACTTCCGTTATAGTGCTGGGGACACTGATGGCTGCCAGCAATCCACGCAAAGGCGCAGTTGCAGGACAATTGGTGAGCAAGGACCGGTCCCGACTCTAGTGGCATTGGAGTCTACATTGCTGGTGAATACAGGAGTGTTCAAAGGAGAGTGCAGCTAGCCACAGCAGCTCTACTGACCATCCTCTGTCTGAAGTATCAAGCAACAAAAATGAATGTCCGAGCATCCCTAGACACAAAGACTTGCCATGGATCACTTCACTTCACTCCACTCCCTGAAACGTTGCCTGGCACGAGACCCCAGGCCTGAAACGGAAGACAAGGACGCCCAGCATTCAAATGTCATCTGGTGGACATCACAAAAACGCGACGTCCCCAAATGAATATTTGCAGGGGCCAAGGCACCTCTTGAAACCTCCTCTTTGAAACCAAAACCAAAACATGTTTAGTGTTCGCTTGTTTTGGCAACACAGTTGCCTCAGGGGATCTGACCTGACTCCTGTCACAGTCATTTGTACAGCCGTGGATTCTACGCGGCAAGTCTCACGGCATCGGGCCGTGAGGCCACTGCCCTTGAGGGCAATAAATCGATAGGCAAAGCACAGCACTCACCATGAGCTCTGCCAAATGCTGTGCAAATCTCCAAAACTCAAGAGATGCGAGTCTCCTTTTTGCAAAGGCAGAACAAATCACGACCATGATGATGTGCAACTTTTGGTGCTTCGCAGAAGGACGCTGACCTTTAGTGCATTGAAACCAGCCGTGCGTCTCGTGCGTCGGATTGCTGTCCAATTTGATCTCCTTGGAGAGGGATCCATGTAATATGGGAAGCCTTACAGGTCCATGCCATTCTACGCAGCACTGCCTCGCACTCCAAGCGCTCTGTTCCAGTCGAAACACAAGCAGTACTGTAGCTGACTGGCAGGACCTTGACCGTTACACAACTTGTACAAGTCAGTCGAGCACGACTTTGTTCAGTGCATTGCAGTTTTTTAAACCATTGCTTCAATTAGATCAAAGCTGCTGTGCAGCACTTCCCAGTCCCTTCCCTCATGGAGCTTTGCAGCTTTGCACAAGCAATGTACAAAGGAGTTGCCTCCAAAAAGGCCAACTCAAGGCCATAGTTTTCCTCAAACGAATCGCTTTACAGGCTTTGTGTTTGGTTGTGTTTACTTAAAAGGGTTGCCAGCAACATCCGAAGCCTGTCACAAACCTGATCCAAAGCCTGTCACTTGCTATGGCCGACAGTCGCACTCTGTGGACTGCTCTGTGCCATCTTTTGAATCTGTCTCACTCCCCAACCCAGCCGTTTGGATGAGGTTGGGCCTCTGGGCAAAGGACACCCTCAACGTCACTGTACTGCCTGAAACAAAGGTAACGCAGCAGCGCACTCTCAATGTCACCTCTTCTTTGCAGTGTCAAAAGGACGACCCTTAAGTGCTTCTTGGTCACACTTGGCCAATTAAAACTTGGAGGGCCTGGAAGGGTGCTAAAGAAGCAGGGCCAGAGCCATCATCTGAATCTTTGAGCAAGGCAACGCTGGGACAAGTTGACAAAACGCGCCTCAAGAAAACTTCCTGCTGCGATTTTCACGGTACCTCAACTCCAGCAAACCAAGAAGCGCCGAGAAAGTTGCAATTACCGTGGTATCTCTCATCACAGTCGGCTCCTTTAACACGACCACGCTGAAATGTACAGTGCATCATCTTGTGGCCTACCCAAGAAAAAAGAAGCAAGAAGCTACTAGGAGCAAAGGGCACCGCTACTAGGAGCCAGGATGCTACTAGGGGCTCCTGGCCTTACGACTAGGAGCAAGAGGACGCTACGAACGGAGCAAAGGGTGTCGCTTCTACGGACCCACTCTTAGGTTGGAGGCCATTGCTCTTAGGCGTTGCAGTGCTCTTTGCAGGCTTTTAAGGGCCCCGGCAGTTGCCGGAAGAGCCGTGTTTCCAGGCCCAGTGGGTCTGCAGAGAAGTCCTCGGGCGTCTCGACGCCCAAAATCTCCTTGGTAGTCAAAGTGCATATCCACAATACATAACACCTTATATCTACTGTATATATATGTATATATATATATTCCTTTATATGTGTATATAGTATATTAGTCTTCAAAATGAATAGTAAGGGAAGGAATAAGAAGCTTCTGGCTTTGACTAGAGGCTAGAGCTTTTGTAACCCTACCTTCCCCACCATCCAGATCTCAAGATCATCATCAGCGTTCCACAAAAAAGGTTGCATATGCCGTCCTGGCTAACTTCTGTTCTTTGAGGTGCTATCGAGGCTCCCGGGAAGGTCGTCGCGCCAATAAACCGCAGGACTCTTCCGCCTGCTGACCACACAACAGCCGATCAAAAGCAGCTCATCAAACTTTAAAGGTAAGGCCGAGAGGGCTTTAAGAGCCTCGAGTCACGTCAAGAAGATCAAGAGCACTAATATTTCCTGATTGAACACTTCTAATTCAGGATCGTTTGAGACAATTCTCCCGCCCTTCAACAAAAGATCGAAAGCTGGCTGCAAACGGAAGATTGCACAAGAAGAGCTTGAGCAACATATATGTACAATACATACAGATAGACATTTACGTACAAATAGACATGCATATGCTGCATATAGATATGTCAGATTATCCGGGTGCCAGGCAACCAGCGGTGAAAGTAAACAAATTAATTACAGTAACACTTGCCAGGATGCTCGGCCAAATATTGACCAATTGTGCGGGATTCTCTTGTTAGAATCGATCTTGAATCTTAATCAATTCAATCAGGTTGAGCTACGGAAACAAAGCTTGGCTGAGCAAGGAGGGTCTTGCTGTCGGTGACGATGCAATTCCAAGCTTATCACAAAAGCTGAGGCTTGAGCAAACACGGGAGGGTGCAGAGTGAAGTTCATTGGATTGTGCAAAAGGGCTGCATCGTTGCCAAAGAAGCCAAGCAAGCGTGTGCTTGCAACTGGTGGCTGTTCGATGGGGTAGCCCTAGTTTTAGCAATAGATAGATATGTCAACGGGAGACGTTGATAGGCAACCAGCGAAAACGCCCAACCTTCATTCTGGCCCCACGATAGAAGAGTCTTGGCGGTGCCCCTGTATACACCATCGCATCTATTGCACCATGAATATTGAAAAAATTGACATTTGTAATGCAGGTCTTTGACATAACTACCCCTACTACAAGAAGAATGCTTGAAACAACAGCTTCTCCCGTACTCTCTGTCTGCTGCTATATTCTTTGTTCACCTGTCTACCCCTTGTTGTCAACTGTTTCACACAACACTAAGAACCACGTCTTTCCAAAACAAAGGTGTCTTTTACAAAACGACGCAAAAATAAACAAAAATGTTTAAAGCA